TAATATTAATTTTATAATTTTTTTGTAGGCCCTTGAAATAGACCCATCAAATACCAAAGCTCTGTACCGCAGAGCTCAAGGATGGCAAGGATTAAAAGAGTATGATCAAGCATTGGTAAATTTTGTTCCAAATGTTTAATTTTTTAATATAGACAACTGCCTTATAAATCATACACCTAATTTTCTTACATTTTTTCCAATTAAAGGCTGATCTTAAGAAAGCTCAGGAGATAGCACCAGAAGATAAAGGTAAGTTGGCAGTTTTTGTAGTGAAAGTTCATTTCGTTGTATAAAAATTTATCCTTATAAACCATTTGCTAAGGAAAGGAAACAACCATTCAAAGATATTAACAGATATTCTGTAATATCTGCTGAACAAATAAATATCTCCCTGGCATTGATCATACAGCAATGGACAAGACAGTCAAGGTCCCTGCCTTCAAAGAGCTTACGTTCTGGGCACTCTCAAGAATGTACTAGTTTTTGACATATGTGAATACTGTTTGTGTTTACCATATCATTTGAGATCCAGTTCCTATTATGGTAATTCTGGTTGAAAGCTGAACACTAGGCCCTTTTGTTAAGACATGGGTCTGTTCACCATTCTGTGGTGAATGTGTCTTGCTCTTGCTCTGTAAACCTATTTTGTCCTTTCTCAATAAACTTCATTTCATGGCTTAGAAGAAAAAAAAGAAAGCTCAGCACTAAAAGATAACATTATTCATGCTAAATATAACATTTGGCACCATTCCTTGAGCTGAATGTGGTCATAACCTAGTATTCTAGCTACTGGTTATATGTTTTAGGAAAGTAACAAAAATAAGCTTGTTTTTCGGGTAAACCAAATATGAAGTCACACTAGACCTAGATATTGAAAAGTATCTTTGCCTTTAATCCTAGCACTTTGGGAGACTGAGGTAGGAGGATTGCTTGAAGCCAGGAGTTCGAGACCAGCCTGAGCAAGAGCGAGACCGTCTCTACAAAAAATAGAAAAAATTAGCCGGGCATGGTGGTGCACACCTGTAGTCCCAGCTACTTGGGAGGTGAGGCAGGAGGACCGCTTGAGCTCAGGAGTTTGAGGTTGCAGTGAGCTACGATCATGCCACCGCACTCTACCCTGGGCGACAGAGTGAGTGAGACCCTGTCTCAAAAAAATAAAAAAGTTTTGTTTCTTATCGATGAAATGAAACAAGGGAGGCAGTTACTGTTCTCTCTAATGAAGGAGAAGGCAGAGCCTTATGTAATTGAGTTCTCTCAGTTAACAGTTTTCTAAAATTGTACTTTATGATTTTTGTGTTCATATTCTTAGAACAGAATTTTCTGTTATTGGGGCTCAGTTAC